ATGGGTTATATCGTATAGTAGTATAGATACGAGCAAGCACACATAAATATAGATAAATTTCATCTGATTTTTTTTCTTTATCAAGGTAATCTATATTAATGAAAAGCTTTTTCTTTTATAGAAATTTATTTTATCGAAAACTGCAACAAAAATAATTCTATATGTTTTACACTCACTTATTCTTTTTCTATAAAAAAAAACTCTTTGGTAATAATCAATGAGAATAAATATTTCGTTACATATAAGTGCAATAAGAAAAGATTTCTGTTTTTTTCTCAAATATGTCACATTCGTATAAGCACATAATGATGTTAGAACGATTGCTTTAATTCCAATAAAATATCGAATATATTCTGCATCATATAAATTATTTCCAGCTTTGATATTGCTGATAAAATAAAACAAATTCAGTTGAAATATCCCCTTATAATTAAAAGCGATTAATGTTTTTTAGAGCTTATATATTGATGTGTAACAACCGTAGTTTCTATGCTAAATGTGCTTAGAAAAATTCTAAATTATAATCACAAGTCATTAAAAATGCATGTTGTGTATTAAATCTTATTAAATACTTTCCAATTTTCATTGTTTGATCTCATAATTACTATTCATTTTTTTATAATGCTATTCTATTCATATTAGTTCTTTTTATAGTCATCTCTATGAAATTCGTTTCTTTATTTTAATACACTCAGATAAACTTTCTATGTTATTTTATTTATTATAAGAAAGTGAATTTCTTTTTATTCAAAATTGTTCTTCGTAGTTTATTCCACCTGAATAGAATATTTTGTGATATCATTTTTTTTATGATTTATTTTTGCCAATATTAAATTGTAAATATTTCATACATTTATTGAAGATATATAATCGAAATATAACGATAAAATCATTCTTTAAATTATATTTCAAATATTTTTATCTTAAAAAAATCGAATAAATAAATGGCTACTATAATGATACAAATATATAGATGAAGCAATAATAATCATTGTCCAATTAAATGTCATAAATAATTCACACATTCCTGCAGGATGAAAACACATAAATATATTGACTTGATTCATTTTTGAATTATTCTTATAAACTTTATAAAATTATTTCCATTCAGTAAAAGTAGGAGACATTCCATTTGTTCGATTTAATATTTTCAAATTTTTTATATATACATCAGTGAATCCACAAGCACAGGATAAACTTTTGTCGATAAATCCAATATCAAATGATGCAAGTTGATGTTTAACATCTCTTATTAGACTAAAATTAAACAAAAAAATATATATAAAATAGAAACAATTTTAGATAACAAACAAATGAGAATATTTACTAATAGATCTTCCAGAATCGAAAAATAAAAATAGTTTTTTAATTTTCTTGCGACAGGTAAAACTTTATTAGAATAAAATAAATAGGAAATATTTTAATAGAGTTTTATTCAATTTTTATTTATTTGTATAAAAAATTCTTTCGTAATCTCACTATTCAAGTCAAGATGCTTTATTACTTAAAGCATCGTATTTTTATTTATACTCTCTACTGGAAATTGTTTAGTTGCCAAAACATATTTCAAAAGATACAGTTGATATAATTTTAGAATAAAACAATACAGTAATATAGTATAATTACATTAAATTTCTATTGTAAAAATAAGAAAAAGAAAAGATGAGTTGAAATTATGAGTCACAAAAACAAATTCTTTGACTTTTTCTTTTCAAAATTAATAATTATGTCAACAAGAATCACTATAATTTCATTATTTTGGATGATATTTTATAGAATATAGCACCATTTTTCTCAATATAATCGTAAAGAAAAAAAGTGTTCTCTCGATCGAATGAGATTCTATTGAAAATATTCGAACAATATTGTAAAAATTTCGAGAGTATTGACTTTTGTTTGTACGATAAATAAAAAGTTAAAAATCATATAGAACTTTTTAATAAATTTATTTTTATGTTAGAAATTCTTTTTTAAAGCAATATGATAATATTTTGTTTATTTAATTCTGATTAACAAAATACAAAAAAAAACATTTTTCTTTTATATTTTATCAAAATATATCTTCGTCCTAAAAAATATATGAACACATTCGAGGTAATTCACTTTTCATACGAGAATTAATCAAGATATTCAATCACGCAGACAACAAACTTCTAATAAATCTACTTACTCGTTTTTTTTCTGCTCTATTGATTTTTCTCCGTTCTCTTTTTACCTTCAAATAAGATAGTGAATCGAATCTCGTGTCTACCTCAGTAGTGACTTAAGTTTCTTTTTCGTTCTCTAATGTACAGTATACAGTATGCGAGAGGTAACAGAACGAAATATCCACATTTTTGTCTCGTATTCGTATCTCTTCAGCTCTTTCGTGTAAGATCAATCAAAATTTTTTAATAGTTAATATGTCGCCAGAAGAAGTCAATAGAGAAGACAGCGCTGACTCATTGAATGAAACAAATCCTTCGAATTCGCAAGTTCTCACAAAGAAAAATGACTGACGATAAATTGAACCGTGAATAACTATATAATATATAAAGAAAACTATGCAATAGACAACATTTAACAAGTCAAACTGGTTGATCACAAGCTCAAAGAAACAGAAGGATCTGTGTACAAAATTCACAGACGTTGCACTGATTGCTGTGAAACAAAAAATAAACAAGAATCAAGAGAAATTAGCTATATGGTGGCAAAGAAATTGAAAACATTCTAATCTAACTTTGATAAATATTTTCGTCTTTAATATTTTAACAAGAAACATCATGTGATGGAATAGAAGACTCGAAAATACCGAATACAGAGCAGATGATACATTATATGTATTCTGCTATGTAAGAAAAAAGTAAAAGAAAGTGTTTTTATATACAGTTCGAATTTGTTAAAAAATTTCTATTTTGAATTCTTAGATAATATAATATTTTGATTAAAACATGATAAATATAATGAGTTAATTCTCAATTCTATTTAAAATAAAACAGAAAATGCATCAAAACTAATCTAATTAATATAAGAAAATCTCTTCGTGTAGTTGAGTTTTTTTTTATGAATTTTCAAATTAAAAAAATCAAATATTGTTATAAAAATATTCTCAATGAAAATCTTCAAATTGAAGACGGAAACAATTTATTAAAAACTTACATAAATTATCGCAGATATTTCTAATATATATTTTGTTCATTATTTGGACAATTCAAATAATCATAAAAAATATAACTAAATTATTTCAGTTTCTCCACTAGAATATAAAGAAAATATTGTTAAAAAGCTTTTTCTAAGACTTTCTCTCTCACATTTAACATAACATTGAATAAAATATTCTACAATAAAATTCAATTGATTTTTCTCAAAGAAATAAAATAGTGTAGAAAAAAGTTAAACAATTTTTAAAACAAAATCACTGAACCGTTTCCACGTGTTCTATTGCGATGAAAAAGTGACGTTTGTCCACTACGAACATCTATACATGTTCGTGTCCAATAACGCGAATATTGAATAAGCATTATTACGATCCCACTCTCATACACACGTAATTACAATGAAAATATCGTAGTTGAACGTACGTATAATGAAAAAATAATCATAGTTATGATAAATAAATTACATTTTGTCAAAGTCCTGCCACATATTCACACGACAATCCACTGTCGATTGATCTTCATATTGTGAGAGAAGTTGTCAGTTGGATATCATTTCTCTCTTTATTCAAAAATATTATTATTAAGGAAATAAAATTATTTAAATGATTAGTCGAACAAGTTTTCATCAAAATAAAATTATATGATTTGAATTATTTCACAAAAAGACAATATCATTGCAGTTCTTTCGTTATATTTTCAAGAATTAATAAAAAAAAGATTTTAACAATATGAAACAGATTAGTTTCAACTATTCATAACAGAAAACATGTTTCTAGCCTTGGTTAAAAATGATTCTGCGGGTGTCATTGTTGTTTAGAAAAAATCGTTTGCATAAAACAATGAGTTTATTTTTATTAATAAGATTTTTCAATATCTTTATATTACTAGAATATTTCAACATAAAATATTATGTAATTCAAGACTTTTGAACCTTAATGATTATCCCATGAAATTGTCTGATCGATTTTATTTGCCATTCTTTCTTTCTCTATCACTAAGCTTTTATTATTGTAAAGATAATTATAGTTGAAAAAGATCAAGTATGTTTTTTAATTGATAAAACGCTATCTGAGATCATTTTTTCCATTATAATTTACATTGAGAAAATGTAAAATATATGTCTGATATAGAATCGATAATTTCCATTTTTCGAATTTATTTTCAAATCTTTTAACAGTAAACAATTGAAAACCTTAACAAATTATATTGTTTTCAATTTGATAATGATGATAATGATGATGAAAAAAGAAAAAGAATTGTTTGAAACTTAATTGATTCAAACTATATATCTCTTTATATACACGATGAAAAGATGTCTATATTCTAACTATTGGCTTTGTACAATGCAATCAAATCAAGATTAAAATGATATAAAACTAATGAATATATTTTCATGAAATATATTCTCATAATTTATATTAGAAATGTTTTTCATACATATTTGATTTTGCTGTATAAAATCAGATGATACACATACTGTCTATCTTCATTTGATCGTGATATCGGACATTTTCTTTTCTATTAATAAGATCAACAATTAATGATCATACTGATATTAATCTTACAATAAACATAACAGTCTTTAGCATTCAACTACTATTATATTAAATTGAATAAAAAGTAGAGAATTCATTTATTTAAATAAACAACACATTGATAGAAATAAAAAACACATATTTCTCATTCTACCTTTAGACTTGCAATTCACACTAAGGGAATGAAACCTTAATATTCACTATGATAAAAAAACATAATTGCTCAATCTGACTTTTCTCTGTGACATTCGGATTGCTGATATTATCGATTTGATTTTAATTTATATATACACTGTGATTTCCAAAATCCTTATGTCAATTTTGTACCAATAAATGATTCACTCATGCCATTGAATCTAGTAACACATGGACGACGAAATTCTTCACCACGTTCATTAACCCATTTAATTAAACTAAAAAAATATCTGCATGACAAGTATTATAATCTTTTGAAAACATAGATATTATCTATTATATATACCAGAAAAAACAAAACGAAGTGATTATCTAACCTTCACTCGATACATAAACATTATACCAAAATGGAGAACTTCCTTTTTTTGGTTTCAAATGATTGCCAACTACAGACAAACTGTTACATCACCTTGTTCGATATCACTCAACTAGAAAGGTTTCTTATAATTATAACAAATTTCTAGTAATATACAATTAACTTACATAAGTTAACCATGTAGTAATACGATTTCCTAGAAAATAAAAATTATGATATTATTTCTCATATAAAATTTCAACTCACCTAGACCAAAAACTGAAAAAGAATCTTTCTCTCATTTCTAATTTTGACAAATAAATATTCATGACTTAATCGTGCAAAATCAAAATGTGCTCATAATGATCACCAACATCATAATTTTCGATCGAATTATTTTATTTTTAATTTTATTTTCCTATTCTCGAATTATTCACATACCTGAAGATCTTCAGCTGTTATCATACTTAAATTTATTACACTTTCAATTAATCGAGATAAATGAGAATGACTGATGAATCTTCATTTCTCAACCAACCACTAAAAATAAAATAAAAACTAAGCTTTAAACTAAATCTGTATTTCAAGGTAAAGACATAACATACAAAATAATAAATATAACTATGATGAGTTAATAATCATGAAAAGCTTCGAAATTTGAGGAACAAAAACAGTATTTGGTTGACATGCATTGAGATTAAATATAAAAATTATATATTTGTTTTTTCCTAGTTCGTATCTTTTACTCACTCTATAACTGTCATGTTTATGTTTTCATATTTTAGAATTTTGTATAATCACTCTACTTAACTGCAACCATAATTATGAATAATTATCTTAGATTAAATATTCATCAAATAGTGATGAAAATAAAGAAAAATTCTTTTTAATATCATATGAAATATACATCTTTTTAGTCTGACAGACTCTAGTTTTCATCAAAATAATTTTATTCATGATATTTATATTTTTAATCTCGAAAACTGTTTAAAAACTGATTGAATCAACTAATACTAGTTTTCAGTTATGTTCTTCTCATTGCTACTTTCGCACGAAACATTTTTTTCATAAATCCTTCGTATTCATTGAAGTTTTATATATATAATCTGCATTTAAGAAGTATAATAAACAAATAAATCCCAGTATGAATAATTTAGGAAATGATATTTGATTTTATTTATTTAAAATCATCATTAATCATATTGGAAGATTATTTTTGGAGAAAGACGTTACAACCATATTTTTATTTGCTTAATCATCTGTATAAAATCCTCAAATATCTCTCTAGATCTTTCATTTTACAAAATAGAAACAAGATTCTATTGTATATTCAACAGCAAATAAAATCATCCGAACAATACAATGTGTAATTTACTACGTGTGTAAACAACTAACAATAAATACATTTTTTATTTTTCAGTACCTTTTACTGATTCTATAATCAGCTGGTTCAAAACTATCGGTCACAAAATCATAAACGACAACACGTTGTAATTGTAGAGAGTGAGAGTTTTATTTCGATTAGATTTTCTAGTATTTCTCAGTTCTATATATATAGTAGATACTCTTAATGAAGCAAGTCATTTGACTTCTTCAATATCTCAATTACTAACAGGATCATGAAAAAGAGAAATAGTTGGCTAATCTAATAATTCTTCTTATTTAACAGGCCTTCAAATAGGAGATGAATAATTATTATAACGACAACGACAAAATAATTTTGCTTGACGTTTTTAATTTAACTAGATAAAGTTAAATTCTAGAAAGACTATTTTGAAATATATTAATTGTGTTCCATTTTGTCGACAAAGTTTTTCATATATTTCACGTTCTTCGAAATAATCATCGGATCTTGTATTATTTATTTTAGAATTTTTCGTTTGTGTAACTGTTAGAAGTAATTTTAAATTTTGTTTATCATTTGTATTCATATCACCTTTGCGTTCTTTTTTAGTTAATGTTCGATTTTTTTCTAATAGTTTCACAATAAATTTTATTGTTATTTGCATAAACATGATCTAGAACTAGAAAAATTCAAATATATTTTGTTTTTAATGAAAAGAAATTAAATATTATTTATCAATTGTAAGCATTTCAGTTAATGATAAAGCATGTTTGATATTTCCGTCCTAAAAATATCAAATTTAATTCAGAATAAAGAGAGAGAAAAAGAAAAATCTTTTCTCTTACTTATGATGTTGTATAAGCAAGATAATGTAAAATATGAATATTATTTCTAGATAATTTTTTGGTTCTTTATTTAAATGATTGAGTGTTTCTTCCATCCACAATAATCTATAATAAAAATCTCCATTTGTACATATAACACGTCTCAAATCATAACATTTCGCAACTATAAACAAATAAATTAGAGAAAAATCGATAAAGAAATTTTTGTTCGACTAACTATTCAATTCTTTTGATTTAAATTTTTTAATTATTTCACCATTTACTAATTGACTTGTATTTTATTTTTATATATCTTAGAAACGCATTAGTTCAATAGCAGATCCTATCTAATTTTTAATATGAAAAATATTTCACAAAAACAATATATCATTAATCATTTACCTCTTTAATCTTCAAATGATCGAAATAACGCATTACGAACAAATCTTTGTGAAAAAGATTGTCTGATCTATCTTCACATTGTTCAGACATTCAAATGTTATTCAATTCAAAATTTAGAAGAGATTCGAAGATTTTTTCATATACTTTAATCAATCAACAGACATTAAACGATTATTCTATCCGTTCATTAAGATGTAGATGAAAAAGCAAATATATATATATTATAGATTGTATTGCATAATGGTATAAATACGAACGAGCACACACAAATATAGATAAATTTCATCTGATGTTTTTCTTGATCAAGTTAATTTATATTAATGAAAAGATTTTTCTTTTTTAAAAAATAATTCTATACATTTTACATTCACTTGTTCTTTTTTTTATAAAAAAACTCTTTGATAATAATCAATAAAGACAATTAACATTTTAAAATACAAAATAAAATTGATGGAACATTCTAACAAAGAATAAGATGTATAGATTATTTTGTTCTTGTTCGAATATTTATTTTATTGTAATTACAATGACGAACGGATGGAGTATGTTACCCCGATCCTCGGTACATTACTCTATTATCCATTTATGTTTATATCACTCAATGCTATGTGTTATATATAACAACACAAAGACGAGAGCATGAAAAGAATAAAATACAGATTAGTTTTGTTTATCAATACTATCAATATTGAGACGAAGAATGTTTCTTAATAAATATGAATTTTCCTATAGTAGAAAAAGAAAATAATCTCATTTTTTTGTTATTTATCAAGAAGAATTGCCTCAATTGGGTAACAATTAATTCTATTTAAATTAAACTGTTTTTTATCTATTTGACACAATTAAAATATTATGAACATTTTACATAGAACATTTCTATCTAGGTATTATTCTAATCGATTGTTGTAAAAGTTCACAAGTCAAGTCTAATTATTAATAATTAAATATAAAATGAAATTTTGTGAATAAGACGATGAAAAAAAAACAGTTTGATTTTAATAATCCATAAATGAATAGACTTAATAAGATTTTTGTTTAAATAATTTAATCGATTTGAATGGAAGTTAAGATGGTTTTCTTAATTGATATTATTTAATAGAAAGATAATTGTATGATGAAATAACAAAGAAATTGTTTTGATTTTATTGTCTATAAATGAAGGTATTTTATTATTTAAATTGAGTTATTTTCAATAATAATTTGAAATCTTTTCATTTTATTATGTAAATGAAAGAAAAGAGATGTTTAATTCTATTAAGAATTATTTGTTTTTTAAATCTTAATTTTATACTTTTATTTTAGATGAAAAGAATAGTCGCGATAGTATATCTGGAAAATATGACATCATATTAGAATAAAAACTGACTGACAATATAAATGTACATCTGAGTAAGTTACTCAGAGTAACTATATTTAATTTCAATTAATAATCTTGAGGGTGGGTGTGGGTGTAGAGTATACCAAGAGCAATATACCCACACCCGCACCCACACCCTCTTCAGTAGTTTAATTCTTCATGATAATACAAAATTTTAACTTTGTCAGTTGAATTCTGATCGAATAGTAGAATATGTCGTTGTTTTTAAGAAAGTATTCAATATTTTACAATTATTTACTCACAATTTCAGTCTCAGTATAATATTTTCTTCTTTGTTCTCGTGTACATGCTAATATAGAATGTTATTCGTATGTTATTTGTCAATCACTTCTAACTCATTGTTCTATTTTTCTTCTCTACAGTGTTTCCTATTTCTATCTCATAGATTTGATGTGTTTCGATAATATTCATACTGAAGATAAACAACTACACTTTTATCATTGATCTACTATGTGAAATAAGAATAAAATCAAGTGTACAATACATTTCTAACAGTATATAATGTCGATATACTTTCTCTTTCAACTCAATACAAAATAACAGAACATTTTATTCTTCAGGAACCGTTGTGTTTCCTCCCTAAAGGCATGATTTTCGATGTATTCTTAACAAGAATAACATTAAGTTTTGTTTGAAACGCTTTGTTTTCACATCCTTCCTACAACATCTCAATATCATGAACATTTTTTATATTTACAGCAAATAATGTCTGCTGATATTTCATATCAGTTTTGAAAAAGGAAACGGATTCATTGTTTTTATTTATTTGATAAATTCAAATGTTGTATTTGCTGTAAATATTTCAAAAAAAAAGAAAGTTTTCATTGACGTCAGTATGTAGGCGAATACAGAAAAAAAACTTGTTTTTATTTCATTACAATAGAAGACAAATATTGATCATTAGTAATCAAATGAAGTTCTTCTCATTTTATGTATTTCACAGTTTTGTAATTATCAGTTATGCTATCATCGTTCTCACGCACACCATCAAGACACCCACACGCACTGATGCTCACGTCAGCCACACTCACTTTTTATTATTAAGATCCGAAAGAGAATCCTATCGAAGTTCGTATTCGTTTATTTAATAAAAGCATGCGCAAGAACCATCATCATCATCAAAAAAAGGATATTCCAGTATGAATTATGCAGACAAACCGAATTCGATGGGTTGTTTGAATATTCTGTTTTAATAAGATCCGCTACTTTCTCGCACATGCTATATAGAGTAAATGTAGGATTGACATTCAGCTGCGTTGGAAATAGACTAGTGTCGCAAACTCGAACGTTCTTGATTCCCAGTACTCGTGCTTTGTTATCGGTACATTTTCCCAATGCACAAGTGCCTACTTGGTGGTAAGCGCTGCATAAATTCAAACGTCGATGTAAATCATCAGACCCACCATAGCGAGTGCCAGGAAATAGTTCTCTCTTAACATATTTCTGGCCCCATTGAGTTTTCACAGTCATGTTGCGGACGAAGTCGACGCCATACTGAAGATTGTTTTGATCGTATGAGGACAAATTCTGCCAACCATGGTCGATTTTCGGTCGATCATACGGTGATAATGACTGGATTTTCACCGTTCCCGACGCGTCCGGTATCGTGTTGAATACGAGGAATGTAATAAAGGGTACATGCGGTTGCGAATAAGCAAGGATGGGATCGAGTCCAGTGATGGGATAATCTAGTGTGGTCACGGGAGACCGAGAATAACAATATATTTGAATATCTGTCCAGTTCTTGTTACTTTCCTTCAGTCCGCTATTTAACAACCATCCACAGGTATCCGCACCCCACGGCAACGTCGGTAATTCTTCAGTAGTTTCAAAAGCCGTAAAGAGTGCCATCTCATCAAGGAAATTTTTGCCCACTTGTGAATTTTCTGCTACGATTTTCACGCCTAATGGTTCAAGCCATGCTGTTGGACCAACACCAGACAACTGAAGAATCTTTGGCGTGCTGAATACTCCTGCCGACAGAATAACTTCCTTCCTCGCTACAGCTGTATAGATCTGTCCTTTGTATTCGTACACCACTCCTTTACATTTCGTCGGATCATTGTCATTGAACACGAGTTTCAAAACAGTGGCCGAATCTAAGATTCGAAGATTCGGACGGTCAACTCCAGGCAAATAAGCTTCCCATGTACTAGCGCGTATAGTAGGCGACTGTGGATCAGATTTATTCGCTGGTTTACGAAATTGTTGTTGAAAATAACAGCCATATTGATTCGTTGGATTATCGTAATCAGTCATGAATCCAATACTTGTATTACATTCGCTCATGATATCGATTAGTAGTTGAGGCATCTTCTCAAATAATGGCGGAGCAATATCTATAGGACCGTCTTTGCCATGCCATTGTCGGCAATCGGCATCGGATATACCCGTTATCGATGATGGCAGGTAATAACAGTAATGATTTTGCATTTTAATCATGTAAGGAAACAGATCATTCCATTTCCATCCCTCAGGCCATAACTGATCAAGTAGGTATCGAGATGGTGCAACAGCAGTCATGCCATTGATCATTGCTGTGCCACCCAAACCGTAAAATCGAGGATTTCGCACCAGACGTCCATTCAAGTAATCTTGTGGAATGGAAAAATAATTTGGATCCGACACGCCGCTAAGATCTCCATCTTGCTCCTCTTCTGACATATCGCTCGTGCTCCCGCGATCTAATGCTAGAACACTCCATTGGTTCGGTGGCTCGCTCAATCGGGCTGCCATAATTGATCCAGCTGATCCTACTCCCACAACGATAAAATCGTACTCTGTTGTATCCACTTTGAAAACTAAACAGCAAACAGCTACCACGAAAAGCCGTACGACATACATCTTCATTTTTCACAAGTAAACAGCGAATGGTGTTCTTGAATGTTTCAGAGCTTCACAGCTCTTTGAGTGAAGATACGACGATAGCAGTTGAAAGTCGAGATATTTTTTTTTCTCGCTAAGATAAGAACAACGGCTACCAACACAAATATTATTCTTTTACGAATATTATATCATAGGGTATTAAACAAGCAGATATATAACGTTAAGATTAAGGGTGGGCGTGAACGTGGTTATAATGCTCACAGTTTTATCCACACCCTGAAGATGATTGAATAATATCGTCAAGCAACAGAACTATTTGATTGACTTAGTGAAATGTATATACACGTGGAAAACAACGATAAAATACCTAAATCTTGAGGGGTTTGGGTGTGGCTATTTACATTGTATCACATCCACATCCTAAAAAAAACTTAAAGGACTAAAGGGAGTAGATCATTCTTTAGTTGCATAGTATTAAAGTAAACCATGATAACTCTATTTTTTCGTGGGCCCCTCTCAGAATGTGAGTGGAAGTGTGTAAATATCCTTCATCTACATCCACATACACTCTAAAGATGCAAAAATGCAATTCTGTTTCGAATGGCCAAGTTGTATTTATTATTATGTGAATATTACCAGATAAGAAACAAAAAGAACTGCAAAAATATTATCTTATCAAAGAGCAACAATTTTACCATGTAACGAATTCGTATGAAATGTGTTGACTTCTTTTTCAGTTTTGATGTTCCTCTAAGAAATAATAAAAGTCTAAATATAAATCACATAAGATGCGTCGTGAGTACTTTTTCAATCTCCTACCTGTTGTATTACTAGATAATTTGTTTATTTATTTGCTGACTCATAAAATATGTCTAACTTGAGGGTGGATGTGGGCCAGGGTAAGATTAGGATTGATGTGCAGTTATGCTATCATCGTCCTCACCTACACCCACACCCTACTCGCTTGTAGTATAAGAGTTACTTTTAAAAATTCTATATTGCGCTAAAGAAATATTTTTTTCAGCTGAAATTTTCAGTGGATTCTAGCCATAAGTATAGCTATGTGTGGGCAAAATTTCAGTTCGAAATAATATTAGTTGATTTATAGACACATTCTAACTTATACACTGAAGTTCTATCAAAATAGCTATAACTCTGGAACGAAGACCTAAGTGGATGCTTCTTTTTTAGATTTTTCATACCTCATTAAGTTCTATCTATCACCAAAATATGAGCTCTAAAGCGGTTGAACACCTAAATCTGTTTCCTCGTTAGTCAAATCTTTGTGAGAGAAAATCTCTGTTTATTCTTTATGCTAGTATATTAAACAGAACAAAATAAAATAGGACCTGTTACTATCAGAAGCTTCAAGAATAATATGAGTTTGATAGCGTATATCTTTGTCAAATTGAAATACTACATTCTTTATCGAAAGTACTGAGCGTTTATTTGATACAGAAAATACATTGGCTTTATACCGGTTAAGTCCTAGAGTGTCATCTGTTGACGTTAACAGTAAGTAAATCCCTTTTCATTTACACCCATCCTCAAGACAGTCAAAGTATATTGTCATTTTGAAGTCATATGTATAGTTCTGCATCAACACTAGCACACAGACCAGATAAAGCAGAGGTCGAAATGTCTGTTGTTAGATTAGTTTGTCGTCGGCGTAATTCGGACTGATCGACATTGTAATAGTTTGACGATGGCTGCCGCAATAAGCTTACAGATGATTACTAAACCACCATAGTAAGAAATCATTATTGTAATTCCTTCGACTAGATCACTTTTTTTGATATAAGAACGAATACATGAAGGTGCACACTTCTTAAAGTAATTTTCATAGGATACAAGAGGCGCAAGTTCCTCCATCGTTAGTTGCCTGAAAACATCTTCAAAAGTTGAATTATAGGGGAAACGACTTGGATTATCAAAGCTATTGAATGCTATAGAAGTATTTCCCTTTTCCAAACATTTTAGATCGAAGACACAATCGACTAACCATTGCGAAATAGTTTCGATTACATAACAACCCATCGGTAACCCACGATGATGCTTGATGCACGTCGGAATAAGTCCACAATTGCATCCATCTATAATCGTTGGAACAGTGTGTGCAGTATGTGAAATATTTATATTTGTCGGAAACTCGAACACCCAGCTGGTACCATAGGTAGTCATTAACTTGCTTGTAGTTGTTATCATGCGAGTCAATGTGAACGTATTAGCTAATATTGTAGGTACTGTCGAATTGATATCATCAATATTCGCTTGAATTTGTTTGCTGAATAAGGATGAAGATAACAGTTCAGTATTGACTAGATGACTTGCTAATAATTGATTGATTGCATCGTGTACTGTGTCCTTAGATAGTGCACAGAGTCTCTGAACTGATCGCAATTGTGCCAGGCCTGCATACGCAAAGGATACATTAAAGAATATGGCAGCCTCAGTAAGATTAATACTGCTGACTGCAGCCAATGCTTCTGAATACAAGTCTCTCGAACATATTGAATGGAAACTAACGTTTAGCTTAAGAAAAGAACCATATTGTATGGATGTTTCTGAGCAAAAACAATGCAGTGAGTCATTATACTGTCCAATTAGATTTTCATAAACGGCTAGTGATGGTTTCTCAAATGTCTGTTCAATTAACTTAGAACGAAAAGCGTGACGCATGTAGAGAATATAGAGAATCACTATAACTAGAATGATATGTAATCGACGCTTCAACTTTTGTTCATCATTCCAGCCAAAAATCTGTTTTACAAACTGTAAAGATAGTTGCAAAGAAAATCCGTTGATGAATTTTTCAATTAATCGAAGGCCAAGCCAGATGAGCAACTGAAAACCAATGGATAAGCCACCAAAAATACCAATAATAATGGTGGCAATCGCCAAGAGACTTTGACGACTGTTATATTCGATGGTGCAAATACTTGGCGCACATTTGTAGTAATAAGAGGTAAAATTGACAGCCGGTGACCACTCATCAACCATCAATTGATCGACAATCGATTCAATCGACTTATTAGCTGAATTAAGTCTTGAATCAAGTGCTGGATAGGTCCACGATTCATCTAGCGGCGAATTAAAATATGGAAGAAAACCCATCATACATGCTTCACTGTAGAAACATTCTAATGTCGATAAAAATAATGCTTCAACCAGATAGCAACCCAGAAAAAAATTAGAAATTCTATAGATTTCCGTACGCTTCCCTCCGGGATACTCGTATATTTTCATGGGTTCGGTACATGTATGATTCGTCGCGCCACAATTACATTTACCAACACCATCACCATACGTTCGGGGCTCATTTATTAACTGTGTTCCATTTTTCTCGCGTTGAAAAAAAATATTCAAACGATTAACCAAATTATTGCTCATCGTGATAATTCGAATAAGCTCCATCCTACGTTTGAATTGACTGATGGTGGAATTTTTCCAAGTTTCAATAAGGTGGTTCATTTTACTTTCAAATAATTCTTTACTAATTACTTGTGAGTTGACAATCTGTCTTTGCAAAAATATATTAATAGCATCAGCGGTTGTATTCTGAGCATGCTCACATAGCATTGCCAATGTTTGAAACTGACTACTAGCATATTTTCGATAGTCCAGTATATAACTACCATATCCAGAATCGCAGTATTTAATCCATTCTGGACTAATCAAGTAACTCGAACAGACTTGATGGAATCGAGGTTGAATAGTTATGAAAGAGGAGTAATTTACAGATATGTTTTCACATTTACAGATGGGATGAACTGAAGACACATTTATAAGTTTAACGTATTCGGCTTCTGATGGATCAGTAATAGTATGCCGATGAAGTGATTTGTTCATTAGATTATATCCAGCTAGGATCGTAACTGAAATGATGATCAAGAAGATATACAGCCGAGTAGCATAACGTTGATAGCGAAGTTGTCGATCATTACGAGGAAAATATTGAAATGTATTTAGTTCAACGATTATCTTTTTCAATGCCGGTTTGATTAGACGCAAACGTTCATGAACTAGAAATTGGAATCATATAAATTGATAGAAGAACTATAGCTGGGTAGCTTTGGCTCTTTTTTTAAAAAAGGCCGGCTCTTATGAGCTGGCTCAGCTTCAGGGTAGGAACTGCTTAGCCCTCTCTCTATCAAATTCATCGAGCATTCACCTTAGACAACCATACGATGTAAACAGATAGTGAAAACGTCGGATTCGATTCGAAACCGGCAGCTATCAGTGGCTCTGGCTCCTAAATTACCCTTCCGGTCTTGGCTGCGTTATGAAAAAAGACCAACTTCTAGCAGTCAGAACTGCTAAACCCTTAGAAACGCATAGTTATCATGAAAATAGAATTACTTACGAGTCAGAGTGGATGGTGGAGATTGTACATTATTTATTTTTTTTATGATGAATCGAACAATAATGGGAATCATTAGTCTCAGCGCGGATATCAAACCGCTGAGTAAACCAATGAGTTTTACTACCACATCCATTAAAGTATTACTCATTTCTTTTGGATAAGTACAAGAAAGAGGTGCACAATTATCACGGTACTTTTCATAAGACATGTTCATAAGCCAGTCTTCCACCATCAGATTATCGACAATTGATTTCACGGTTGCACGTGGACCAAAACGACTGGCATTGTTAATTGTCATCGCTGAGAAGTTTTCTTTTGTTGGAAAAAAAGAAACAAGCTTGTTCAAACATCTCTGATTGTAGAAACACTGAAGTGTCGATGCAAGAATCGAAGTCACTGGTAGACAACCTGATTTTAACCCAGGCAGGCTTGTCTCATTACCGGAATCATATCGTGTTGATGCATTGAATATGTCACTAAAGATAGCATCAGAAATACATTGATGATCCGAAACACAATCGCAAAAGGCCTTATTCCTGTCAATATATTCAGCGGGTGCAACTTCAGGGTGATGATCGGATGATATGATAATGTTTGTCTGAAGACCAGAGATAAGTCGATTACCGGTTATTACGTGAAGGATCAGTTCTAATTGAACTGTGAATGCTCGAGGTAGAGTCTGTTGAAATTGAGTAACAGTTGAGTTAATCTCTTCTTGAAAACGACTCTTTGTCAAAAGCTCTTGACTGATAAACATGTCGTTTTTAAATAAATCAATATTCTGTCGAAGATAAGATCCTGATTGATTACAAAAACCGGCTAATGCTTGAAATTGAGCGCTGCCGAAAGTTCGAAAGTCGTTTAAATTGAGATACGTAACGTTCGAATCAGAGTAGGTGGCTTTAGTCCAACGATCAGATACAAAATCACTCTTGCATATTTGATGTAAATTCGATTTCAGTGAAATAAACTCACCATATGAAAGTGAAATACGAGAACACGGGCATTCTGTATTGACAGGAAAACTATCTAGTTCTTCTTTAGTCGGATTATCTCGTTTCTCGACGATCTCTTTCACATCTGAATATATAAACAAGCCGAGATAAATGAGAAGACATGCGAGAAGAACTAGATAGATCCGAGTAATAAGGGTATTGAATCGACGTTGTTGTTCATCTTCACTTTGGTCACTACCAGCTGGTGGTTTAAAAAGATTGAGATTGATAAAAAACGTTTTCCAAGAAGATATCATCTGCCGACAAAAATCGACTACGGGCATGGTCAGTTTTATGCGTTTATGATGAATATAAAATGTAAGACAGACAGATGCAGTGAAATAAAATATTCTATTTAACAACATTTTTTTTCTACGTCAGAAAAATACATTGCCTACGCAAAATAATAATTTTTATTATATCGCATTTTTATCAAGAATAACTAAAAATATTGATTGAGATAATTTGCTTCCGTATCCTGCATGAAAATCATGCACGGTTTCTAATATGTTCATTATTTATGCTAGATAATCACTCGCATCTGCTTTTATATATTGAAAAAAAAAGAGTCGCAAAAAAGAGAAGCAAATTTTTATTTGCCCATGATATAGAGCGCTGCATTTGTCAGATTGGTGAGATCGTTTGAGCAGAGATAATTATTGACTCATTATTACTTCTTTTTATATGTCATTCCAAAGAGAATAGGTAATGATTTGTAGTACAGGTATGAGTATGAATGCTCGATGATTCTAATATCCACGACTTCAGTTTGATTCATCAGCGCCCCTAAAAGAGCGTTTCATACAGACGATACGTAGATCTTAGTACTGCTTACGCTGAATGTTTATTTAACATCATTTATACTACTCTTCTTTTTTTTCTAGAAGAAGAAATTAAAAGAAATTCTAGAACAATGTCGAATACGAATGAAGCGAAGAATGAAACTCATGAAGTATGTCATTGATCTTATTACAAATAAAGGGATAAGATAATCCTGACTTTTTTCCATCTCAATTTCAGAACTACGAAATGGCCGCGAATACAACTGAGGGGCACCCTTCTTCAATGACAACAGTGTATATAAATTATTGTTGTACTATACAAGACAATAATATTCTCATTTTTAGGAGCTCTCCAAAGAGAAAAAAAGTGTGCTGCACGATTTTTATTGTGATTGCTGGGATTATAGTTGTTGTTGCTCTAACAATGCTGGTTCTAAGATTTTGCTGGAGAACTAAAACGAACATAAACACAGCAATAGTAATAACAGGTATGATTGTTCTTAAGAGTGGGTGTGTAACTGGACCACGGTATGAGTGTTCATTTCTTAGTCACCCACACCCTAAATCCCTTGAAAAGATTTTTTGAATTTACAAACCCTGCAATCAGCGGAGTCTATGGTCTTTGCCATTAGAAACTGAGTTTTGGCGACAAAAAAGAGAGCTCTTTTTCTGGGTCTGCACAAAATAACTAGCTTCGTCAATAGATGCGACTTAACAACCCTCAATCCTTCCACACCCACCATCTTTATCTACATACTATCCCTCATTCTGATCGCAACTTAAATACCATTTTTATCATGAAATGTGTTAGCGTCCACATTATTATATGTATAGGAAATATCCATCACTTCTTTTCGAATGTTGGTCTTAGGGCCCTTTAAATATAACTATATATAAAAAAGGATGTTTGATTATTTGCTATCCATTCAGTCCCTGTAATAGCTATCGTCACCAAATTTCCAACAAGAGTCCCCAAGCCACAGAGGAAAGTCGACGTGAGGTTGGTGCGGCCAAGAGAGTGAGAGAGGAGGGATGTGTGATATTTCACCCAAGGGTCCCCGTATTAGCTAGCGTCATCAAACTTTCCATAGTACTCCTATAGGCCCAAAGAAAGGCTGAGAGGGAGTTGGGTGGAATTTCACTTAGGTGCTTTTGTGATAGCTAAAGTCATCAGACTGTCCGTGGCATTTCCTTATGTACAGGAAAAGTCGAGAGGGCATAGGAGATGGAAAGTGGTTGAAATTTAATCGAATTTCGTTCAACTTATTTGATCAATCTTTAGAGTATACATGTGTTACTACGTTTTCGTACTGATCTGATCATGTTACACAGAAGCGAGATAATCACCCCACACAGTATTCGCTGGACGATAGTACTTTATTGTGGGTGTGTATGTATCTACGATAGATGACACTAACACGAAATCCAAGCCTTTTTAGATCAGAAACGAGGTGGAGACAGATTTTGCAGCGACAGCTGTAAGAGCACGGGTGGATTTAGAATGCTGCATAGCCTGAGTTGTTGTATTTCAAATATATACGAGGGAATATATTGTGGTAATAGATGAAGAATTTCAAGCAAAACTCTATACATTTCCTGTTGTTTTCTGACATATGAAGTTTTCGGTCTTAAAGGTTCTAAACTAACGTCGGGTACCTCTGCTAGTATATATATATGACATCTATATAAGAACCCACAAGACTCTCGCGGCCTGTAGCCCAAAAAAGAGACACCATATACTAGTATATATATGATATATATTTAAAGACCAGCAAGATCCGCATTCTACTTGAATTGAAGGTATTTTTTGTTATCAGAATTCACACTGAAATAAAGAGGATCATGGTATACATAACGATGTGAAAAAATTTACTATATATTCCATTTTCATGAACTCTATTAACGTTTTTTGTTATAATTCTTTAGTCTTCCATTGTAATAACTTTCTGACTGTCTTTAGATGATAAACCCACAGCAATTACAACATCACCACAAGGAGGTCAGTATTATCCATGTGTTTTATGCGTTTGATTAAGTAATGATATAAATCTTACAATAGTTGGCAAAAAACTTTTCGTTGGTCGTAACTAGGCTTAGTAAATAATGCCGAGAAGGAAAACATTGAGTTGAAATATATTGTTGATTTTATATTAGTACACCGAACGGTCAGGAAATTTATACTCTATCTCCTAAATAAAGGTATTAATAATAAAATCCTCAGAATGGTGTGGTAAACTGAATGTTGAACATGATACCTACTCATACATATATTTTAAACCCTTCGCGACATCATTCTCACTTCATTTAATAGACTTTTTGTGTATGATTCCATGTATAAATCAAATTCCTTTTATTTCTATATGTGAGTGAACATGATACACACATACTTAGTCGATTCTAACACTATTTCAGATGATATGCACATATTACTACACACATGTAATAAAAATAATTTTTGTTTGTAATAGAGCAATGCCAAGTGAAATTTAAAACACCAAAAAAGCACTCAACTGGCTCTAAATCATTGCCAGTCTTTGTATCGCTAACTGATATCAACGACGATAAAAGATCGGATATAATTGTGGCTAATCAACTTGCAAACAACGTCGGGGTTCTCTTCAACCATGACGGTACCGAGTTTGATTATAAAAGACTTCGCCCAAATGAACACTTGTCAGGTCCAGCATATATATCAGTCGTTGACGTTAATAATGACGCCAAACTAGATATTATTGTTGTAAATACTATGAGAAATAATGTTGGTGTTTTGCTCAATGATGGTTTCGACCAATTTCCTTCTGTAAAACATTACGACACTGGAAAAAGTACAAATCTGTCAGGTGTTGCAGTAGTTGATGTTAATGGAGATAAGAGACCTGATATTATTGTGACAGCCCAAAATACGAACAGTGTCAGTGTTTTTCTAAACTCTGGTGGCGGTCAATTTTCCAATAAAAAACCTTACAATATTCTATCTGGTGTCGGTGTGATGTGTCCACAAGTAGCGGACGTCAATGGCGATACTCGCCCTGATATTATTGTCGCAAACTCTGGTGATGCTAGTATTGGTATTTCCTTTAATTCTGGCAACGGAAAATTTACTAAGTGGACAACATTTTCAACTGGAAAAGGTTCACAACCGAAATCTGTATCTGTGGCTGATGTCAACGGCGATAATAAACCTGATCTTATTGTGGGTAATTTTAAAACGAGCAATGTTGGCGTTCTTCTCAATGCTGGCAATGGTAAATTTCTTAATCAAAAAATATATTCAACTGGACTCAACTCACAACCACTATCGGTGTTTGTAGCTGATATGAATTGTGACAACAAACCTGACATCATCGTTGCCAATTCTAATAAAAAGAACATTGGTATTTTTTTCAACTTTGGTAATGGTACTTTTCAGCGTCAAACAACGTATGAAACAGGAGGTTCCACAAAACCATGGTCTGTGGTAGTGGGTAACGTCAATGATGACAACAAGCCGGACATTATTTTTTCAGATATTGCTAAACACGAGATTGTTATCTTATTACGTTCTTGAAATTCGTTTGTATTATACTAACAATTATGAATTATTGGATCACTACTGGGTCCAGCTTCACTCATTTTCAAATAATCGGACTGAAAAATCTACAATAAAATAAAACAAACCGTCATCTTTACGTATAAACCTAACAAAAACAAGCCCTCGGCAGATTTCACTCAAAATAGAACAAGAAAAAAAAGCGTCTTGTATCGAGTCGAAATTTGAAATTCGTTTAATCGAGAACTTTCATAAACGAAGATGTAGATTAGAATATGTTTTGCTTCCAGGCCCTCACGCCATCTTGAGAGTGTGAATGTAGGTGTGGGTGTGAGTAGCTGTAGGTGAAGAAAAGATGAATCTAGACTCGCTCTTACACCCACACCCACACCCACCTCACATCCACCCACATCCACATCCACACGCACACCCACAACCACATTTATAGAATGTGAATCAAAGAAAATATTGTATTCTTGATGAGTAGACTTTTGCTTTAAACATGAAAAGACTATTTATTCTCTTCTTTTGAAATGAACATCAATGCAGACTGGGTAGTTATCCGCTGACATGCTATAGGTTAAAGCCCAAGTTCATTGAAATAGTCCGAGATTATTCCGATTCTGTGGTGAGAGATCTTATAAAACCTCACATCCTCGTCCTTAACGAAACTTATAATAAATGGAACAACTAATTTTGAGTTTTGGAAGCCATTGAAACATTGCTCATGCTTACTTTATATATCTGGTACGATTCGAGAAAAGACAAGTAAAATATTTTTTCAACTTTTTATTTTATTGAATAATGAAACTATGAAAAAATCAGAAAAAATGAATACATAAAATAAGCGAGAGTAAATAAAAAGGAAGAAAAAAAATAGAATACGAATGAAGAAAACTAACTAATTCATGATTAAAGTGGAACAAACTAACTAAAAGGTACGGTTCTTCAATATTGATGGCACTGTTCGGTTTTTGATTTGCATTTGCGATTGTGCCGACATTGTCCTAGAAAGCAAAAATAGTAAATTTATTTACTGCCAAAATAATTTGAAATTATAGTCTCAAGGAAAAATCGACGATTCATGAAATACAATATCGCTAGTAGTCTTTAAAAAATACATACCTGGCTTTTTTTTATACTTTACATTCTATTCAGCTATTGTTTTCACCTGCACAAAATGACACATACGCTTCCCGGCGTCATCACAGATTCCCAGGTAAAGGAATGAATTTCAACAAGATTATATTCACATACCTTACTCAATTTAAATCAAATAATTACAGTTAACTCTAAGGTTGAAAAAAATACCAAATTTCACTAGTTCAGACAAGCATTCAAATCATATATTTTACATTAATCAAAGCAAATATTTATACCTAATTCCGTTAACGAATAATACATCATAAATGACTAGTTATCATTATGATTTTATACAAATATTTTTGTTAATTTAAATCAAACATTTCCAAATAATTCCATGATAGAGTGATTAGCCGCAAAATAATAATTCTAACAAGCTTTCTATTCCAATATCTTCTTCAATTGAGAGCAAATATGTGTACTTAGTTTCATGAATTAGCAGCCCACGACAAACAGACAATTGATAACAAGACTATATTGAAATACTTTGCTGAATTGAAACCAAATATTTGTATTTGATTGCATAAATGAGCAGCACACGACGTATGAATAATTGATACGAAGAGCATATTGAAATACTCTGCGCAAGTCGAAACAAACATTTGTACTGAATTACGTGGATGAAGAACATATGACGAATGACTAATTGTTAGTAAGAGTATATTCAAATACTTTCCTGAAGTCAAAGCAAACATTTGCACTGAATTGCATGGTTGAGTAAACATACGATGAATGTATAATTGATATCAAGAGTATTTTCAAATACTTTTCTCAGTTGAAGGCAAACATTAACAGTTGGTTTCATGGTTGAGTAGCATAAGACAAATGAATAATTGACACCAAGAGTATATTGAAATACTTTGCTCAAGTCGAAACAAACATTAGAAGTTGTTTCTATGGGTGAGAAACATTCGACGAATGGATAATTGATAACAAGAGTATATTGAAATACCATGCTCAAGTTGAAGGAAATACTAGCTGTTGGCTCCATGGATGAGAAACATTCGACAAATGGATTATTGATAACAAGAGTATATTGAAATATTTTGCTAGAGTCAAAGCAACCATTTGCAGTTGATTCCATAGTTGAGGATATATCGCAAATGGCTTGTTCAAACAAGTCTTACATTCTTCTACTTTGGTCAACTTAAAATAAACATTTGGACTCGATTCCATCGTTGAGTGGCACACGACGAATGAATAATTGATAGGAAGAATATATTGAAATATTCTACTGAGCTTGGTATAAATATTAGCAGTGGATGCCATGGGTGAGGAATACACGACAAATGAATAATTGATAGTAAGAGTATATTGCAATACTTTGCTCAATTGAAGGCAAACATTAGCAGTTGATTTCATGGTTGAGTAACACAAGACAAATGAATAATTGATAATAAGAGTATATTGAAATATTCTGCTGAGTTTGACAGAAATATTAGCAGTGAATTTCATGGATGAGAAACACAAGACGAATGAATAGTTGATATGAAGAGTATATTAAAATATTCGGCTTAGCTTGACAGAAATATTAGCAGTTAATCCCATGGCTGAGTAGCACAAGACGAATGAATAGTTGATACTAAGAGTATATTGAAATATTCTGCTGAGTTTGACAGAAATATTAGCAATTAATTGCATGGGTCAGTAGCACAAGGCGAATGAATAATCGATACCAAGAGTAGATTAAAATATTCTGCTGAGTTTGACAGAGATATTAGCAGTTAACTCCGTGGGTGAGGAACACACGACGAAGGAATAATAGATATTAATATTTTATTGAAATATTCTGCTCCAATCAAAGCAAACATTAGAACTTGTTTCCATAGTTGAAAGGTACACGATCAATGAATAACTGATAACAAGAGTCTATTGAAATATTTTGCTCAAATCAAAGTAAACATTAGAAATTATTTCCATAGTTGAAAGGTACACGACGAATGAATAATAGATATTAACATTTTATTGAAATATTCTGCTCCAATCAAAGCAAACATTAGAATTTATTTTCATAGTTGAAAGGTACACGATCAATGAATAATTGATAACAAGAGTATATTAAAATATTTTGCTCGATCTACGACAATTGTTTGCACTTCATATTTTAGTGAAAGTATACGGAACAAATGACTAGATCAAACAAATGGTACATCCTATTATTTTACCTAATTCAAAACAAACATTGACAGCTGGTTCCATCATTTGAACAGTTCACAACGAATGAATAATTGATACCAAGATGGTGTATTGAAATATTCTGCTGAGCTTGACAGAAATATTAGCAGTTAATTCCATAGGTGAAGAACACACGAAGAATGAATAATTGATACGAAGAGTATATTGCAATACTTTGCTCAATTCGAAGTATATGTTAGCAGTTGATTCCATAGTTGAGTGACACATGACGAATGAATAATTGATATTAAGAGTATATTAAAATATTCTGCTGAGCTTGATAGAAATATTAGCAATTAATTCCATGGGTGAGGAACACTCCATGGTTGAATAATTGAAACAAAGAATGTATTCAAATAAATTTCTCCCTATAAAAGAGAAAACTGAACTCGGTTGTAGAATCGTAGATAAATCGACAAAAGAATAGTACAAACAATAGCTGTATTCACATATTTATCTCACATAGGAATAAAGACCGACTGCTAATAGTATAAACGAGTAATATTTAGCCAATGATAATCTTAATTAGGGCTCTATTCAAATGTTTTTGCTATTCGAAAGAAAGGATTCAATCTGACAGCTTAAGTAGAGAGCAAATGCCTAATGAATAATGGTAACCAGAATCGCGTTTCAATATTTGACTCGCTAATCGACAAGAATTCGAGCTAAAATCTTAAATGAAGAACAAACGTCAAATGAATGATGGTAAGTAGGATCTTGTTCCAATATTTGCCTCGGTAATTGACAAGAATTCGAGCTAACACCTTAAATGAAGAACAAACGTCAAATGAATAATGGTGAAAAGGATCTTGTTTCAATATTTGACTCGCTAATCGACAAGCATTCGAGTTAATATCTTAAATGAAGAACAAACGTCAAATGAATAATAGTGACCAGTATCTCTATCAAGTATTTTACTCGCTAAGGAATAAGAATTCAAGATAGCAACGTGAGTGCAGAGTATGGGCCCAATGAATAATTATAACCAGTATCTCTATCAAGTATTTTGCTTGGTAAGGAACAAGGATTCAAACTGTCAACTTAAGTGATGAGTAAGGGCCCAATGAATAATTGTAACCAGTATCTCTATCAAGTATTTTATTCGCTAAGGAATAAGAATTCAAGATGGCAACGCAAGTGAAGAGCAAACACCCAATGAATAATGGTAAGCAGGATCTGTATCAAGTATTTTGTTTGGTAAGAAAAAAAATGAGACTTGATAACGTGACTGAAAATAACATGTGTAATGAATAATTATAAGTAGGATCTCGTTCTAGTATTTTATTCGCTGAGAAACAAGAAGTCAAGATGAAAAATTGGGTGAAGAGCAAACGCTCAATGAATAATTATAAACAGAACCTCTATCAAGTATTTTGTTCGCTAAGAAGAAAAAATGAGACTTGATAGCTTGATTAAAAATTATGTATTGAATGAATCATTGTAAATAGAATTTCTTTCGATTATTTTGCTTTCTTCCAAAGAAAAGACGCACATAGCCACATCAAACATGAATATACAGTAGATGAATAATTCAGACAAATCCCATAGTCGAATATTTTCCTCAATTCAAAGTAAATATTTAGACTTGACAAATATAATCGACAAAAGCATGCCTCATGAAACATTTTCAGTTTGATGGTTCTATTCATATATTTTACTGGGTTTCAACCAAATATTTGCAGTTGATTCCATAATCTCGG